GCGTTTTGGTTCTGTGCCGGTTTAAGTAAAGAAATGAGCGAAACTACAACTGGAAACTTTCTTGAGACAATCGAGTTGGCTGAGTTTCTGCAAAAGAAGTTTATCCTTCCTATGGATATTGGGATTGGTGTATCTGAACAAGCAAGCATTCTTTTTTATAATATGAAGAATTCAATAAATGAGATTGCGAAGGGAAATCTAAAGAATATTATCCTGAGTTATGATAATATATCATATTGTCAAACTACCTTGTTCTCTAATGGAGTTTATTTCCTAGATGAAAATTTATTTAAAAGGCTGATCAGGGAGACTGTTTCTGATTTGTATGGTAAGGTAAATATAAATAGAATGCTGGAGTGCTTACTACACGATTTATCTGTTGAGAAAAGTATTGAGGTGTGTGAAATTGTAATCTACAAGCTAGGGGCCAAGCATTTTCCAAATGATGATACATTGAAATTAGCTGTTTATATCAAGAATATAACAGAAAGCCATTATTCTCAAGCCACTTCAGAAGTAAGAGAAAAATTGGACAAGTAAAAGAAAGATTGCCAGAGTTAGCCCGTGTTCTGGCGTTTTCGTCACATGCTTGTATTAAAAACGTTGAAAATAACGAGTATCTGTATGCCTATGACAATTGTGTTTATGACAAATTACGCTGCCAGAGAGTATTTACTTGTACTTCTTCTGGAGAGATACAAAATGGCAAATGGCAATTTGAACTTGCTCACAGCATGTATTATTATATACGAAATATTAACAATGGTAAGTATTTGTATCCCATTCAACGCCCATCTGGTACCGCTCCTTATGAATTGAAAAGACGTGAAGTGTTTGCTCGGGATGGGAAAGCTGAGTGGGAAGTTCTATTTACTTCTGATGGTGTAAGACTGAGGAGTGTGAACCTAGGTGAGTATTATTTGTATTCTTCTAGTAGATCATACTATAACAGCCATGAAGTATTCATTGGAGGTAAATTGAGTGAGTTTGGAAACATTAGGATCACTTCCTGGAAATTTGAGGACTGTGGAAATTCACGCAGAAGGCGTGATGTGAAAGAAGTACAGGACGTAAGAAACTCCACCGAGGAGTCGTTACAAGAGAATATTAATCCTTCTGCTCAGATAAGTGATATCACTCTAGAGAGAGTAAAAATAACAGACAAGAATATCTCATTTACTGGAAGGTAAGGTAATTAGTTAGTCCTATTAAGACGGGGCTTTTTTTATTT